CTGTAGCTTTTGTTCAGGTGAATATACCCATATCTAGCCACTAAATGTAGACAATTGTGCTGTAGTATCAAATTATGCAAGATGAAAATAAATGCAGAGCTTTGCAGAGCCATGCAGAGAATTGTGCTTGCTTGATTTTGGAAACATTTTGTTGACCTGTAAAATCATGTTTCTTCTGTGAACAATGTTGTCAGAACTAAATCATGTCCTGAAGCAACAGAAGATCCCCAAGATAGGAACCTCCCTTTTCCAAGTCAGAAGCAGTCCTGGTATTTTTTCTTGCTGTTGTAATTTGGCTTCATGTGTACTTTCACATGCCAGTTTGCCTATTAGCGTTTTGGCCAGCCTCTACTGCCTGGAAGCTAATGGGCATGTCTCCACAGACGGGTGCAAGCAGGCCTCAATTTTTCCGTGGGGGGAAATACCATTTAATAGTACCTTTTAAAATCATGCAATAACTTACACCTGGTTGGATGGAAGAAGAGACAGTACTATCATTATTTAGGACAGAAGCTGCAAATTATCTTTTGATGGACAAGTGCAAAAGAACACTGAAAAAGACTAAAGCTCCTCTGCCAAACTGGAAGCTGACTGGCTGAAGGCCAGCTCTGGTACAAAAGCTGTATCGCTTCATTAGGGAAGCATTGCGCCCAAATGAACAAATCCTGCTGAGCATCAGGGCAGAGTGCCATACTAGTGTGCTTAAACAGCTTCCAGGACAGAGCTGGCTGGTACCCCTTATGGTCAGTTCTGAGTGTGAGTTTTGGTCAGTATGCACCCGTCCATTAGATGTTTCTACCCAAGACCACCCTGAAATTACTATTTTAACAAACGAAATAGTAAAACTTCCCCTGTCCCCACGAATTTAGGTTTAATTTCTGAGTGATGCTAAAATGAAGGCTGAGAGAAATTCATCCTTTTGTGTATTCTCATTGTGAGTTAGTAGGAATTTGTTGTGATTCCTTTCATAGCAGGTACATAGAAGCAGTTCTGCAGAGCTTGTATGATTTTGATGGCAAACTAAGCCATTCTATTTCTGATAAGATGTATTTTATGTAGGCTTCAAGTAAATCATATTGTTCAAGCATCTTAAAACAAACGTGATTTGGAAAGTTGGAAAGTTTCAGGATGAAGCTGGGAGAAAAATAAAGTAGTGGTATTTCCTTAGTGCTAGCAGTGCAAGAGGGAAAAACTACTGTTTTTAGAGCTAGCAACACCTGGCATTAAATTGAATCTTGATCTCTTAGAGCTTGTTCTGTAACACATGTAAAAGCTTAGCAAGTTATAAAGCAGTTTTTTCCATTATACATCTTTTTCTGTAAAGAAAGAAATTCCACAACACAGCTAGTATGTATTCATTGTAACCTGTATTGCCAGCGTTTCTTAATGAACGTCTTTGGTTGAAATGAGAAAAATAACAACTGCTTCTGGACTAAAGAGCTACGAATCCTCTCCACTAGAAGAAATCACAAAATGATAGAAAATTGTTCCAGAATTCATCTCAAGAGGTTATTCAGTCTGGTTTCTTGCCTCAGAGCATCTAAGATATTCCTGGCATATGTTTGTTTTACCTCTTCTTTACAGCTTTCCGTGATGGAGATTCTGTCACTGCTCAAGTCACTCAAGCTGTCCCTGCCATTAGAAGAAGGTGATAGTTTGGGGTCGGGTTTTTTTGCCCTCACCTCCTCTCATATTTTCATGTCCAATCTTAATTTTCCCTAGTTCAATATAAGCCTGCTCTTTCTTATCCCATCCACAGTGGTCACTGAGAGCAACATTCCCTTCGTTGGAACTCCTTTCAACATGACTTAAGGCCAATATTGTTGCTTTGTTCCTGGAAAAAACCTCTCCAGTCTTTCAGTTTTTCCTTCTAAATCAAGTTTTTCAAACCTCTGATTATTCTTGCTGCTCTCTCCTCTTGACTCTCTGAAATCAATTCATCTTTCTTGAAATACGGTGGTCAAAACTGGACATAATATTCCAGCTGAGCAGAGCGGAAGGGTGCTCCATCCTGTTGTATACATGTAACTGTTTATAAATCCTGTATGATATTTTCCTTTTTTATAAAAGAGTGAATTTGTTGTTCTTCAACTTTCCCCCATGTCAGCCTTAATGGTGGGACAGAACCTGAGAAGGATCCCATTAATGGTAGAGGGTTTGGCTAATTTCTTCTAAGGCTCTATATTCTTTCCCAGTTCTTCTGATTTTTCTCGCTTAGAGTCTCTCTGACTTGTCTAAATGGAAGATTTTTGTGGTCAGACGTGACGGTTTTGAAATGTGAAGGCATTAAGCTCTTGTACAGTTTTGGGTGGACTTATTCCATTGACATGGACACAGAAGAGGGTTTCGGTATAGGACAGTGCTCAATACTGAGGTGATGCTCAGTAACCTCTTTTGTCCTTTGCAAGGATGGAGAACGTTCACCTGCAGCATTTTATGGAGGTTCAGAAAAGCTTGTTGGACTGAACTGTGGGACTTGAGATGTCTTCCAGCTTAGTCAAGCTAGAATATGAAACTGAGGGTTTTTTCCAGTAATTTGGAAAAGGTAGAAAATCTGTTACCTGGTATACCGTATGGCTGCAGTTGGATGCCAGAGTAGAAGCTGGGAACGTTGATCTACCAATAGGTTAGTTATTCACATGGCACAAATGTGTATATATACCCAAGACAGTAGATTTAGACTTGGTACCATTTTTCAGACTGGGAGAGGTACCCCTTCCTGCCAAGTTGTTATGAACAGAAAGTGAGGCATGAGACACCACATATTTTTCAGAAGTGTGAAAAGTTCTAAGCCTAACGAAGTGTAATGTGGGCTGAAAACCGTGGAGAGTTCTGTGATGTGGTAGTTTCAGAAATAAGGTGCATGGCTCTAATTATTGACATGTATCAAATGTTGGAGTGCTGCTGTTTACATAAGAAAATTTGAATCTGGTAGTGGTGTTGCTACAGAGCTGTTTTCCGTTTTTTACTCATGATGCCTTGAATGAATCCAGTCCATTTATCTTAAATTTCATCTAAACCTTTGAAACATGTTGACACTTAAAATGTAGACAAAACTTTCCACGTGCTTTTTGTTTTTTCTTAAATGGTGCTGAAACATCTGTACCTCTCCCTTTTTTCCAACCACTAAACAGTCTCATTTTCAGTTGTTTTTAAGTTGCTTTACCTTTATCATGCCTTCGGAGGGTTCTCGACAGTCTCATCCAGAAATTTGAACTAAGCTGTGGTAGAATAAAAGCTATAGATCAGCACTCCCCTAGTCATTCTCTCTGTATACATCAATGCTGGTTAATACATTTTACAGCATTAATGCTTCCAGTGCTTCTAAATTTTCTATTTGTTGCCTTGCTTAACATATAATAGCTTGGAAGGTTAGGAAGCTTGGATTGTGAGCTTCCAAAGTATTACAAAGTACCTTTCCAAACTCCTGGAGAATTTTTGAGAGGGAATAATATTTTTTCATTTTTTCAGTAAACTTTTTCATTTCCAAGAAAAGCAGTTCAGCCTACAAATTTATTGGTCAAGTGGGGGACCTTGATAGAATTCGTTGGTGAACTTTGAAATAATTTCAACATAATGTTTCTACAATTGCAACAGCTTCGGAAAATGATTTTCTTCAATTAATGGAAGACTTTGAATGCTCTTTTGCTTCTAGCCGGGAAAAACAGAAAGATGGCTCAGATGCATGTAGGTTTTACCAGGAGTCTGTCTGTTCTGTAGCTAATGAATGCTGCTAGGAAGTCTACTGCCTATGGAAAATGAAATATTAGTGAGATGATGGAGTGCTGGCCGTTGAAATAATACCTGTTTTAGAAATAAGGCAGGGGAAGATGCATTGAGGTAGGAGTCATGGGACCGTAGCCTGGGTACTCAGTTGCTCTGAGTTGCTAAATGTCTGTGGATTCCACCAATCCACGTTGGTCTCTCCACTGAAATGCTGGAAACAACATTCATTGTAAGGCAAAATAAAATTGTCATGTGGATGTGCCAACTGAATTTTAAATCTATTCTGCTGTAAGTTAAACATGTAATTTGACTGGTCTTAACTTCCCTGACACAGGTTCTTGGTCAAGTTGTGCACTTGTGTAGGTAGAATAAGCAAGGATAAAATCAAAGAGCATTAATGACTGTGATAGCTATTAGCTGATATGATGAAACTATTCTCTTTAGACTGGTGGGCTGCTGGCTGCTCTAAACAGCTGAAAGAGAAGCCCTCTCAACACAAAAATCTTCAGAAATAAATAGTGTTGTCAAATGTCATTGTGTGGCTGAGCTTTCCAATGTTTTCCTACGGTAGTGCAGAGATAGGATTGAAACCTGTTGAAAACTTTTTCTATTAAGAGATATGTTTCTTTTTTTATTTGCATATCCACTTTCTCTTAAATCCTTTGATCAATTTTCTTCCTGTCTAACAACAATCTATTCTTGATGAATTAATTTTTCTGAATTTTCCCTATAAATTTTTAGAGGTTTTAGAGGTTTTTTACAGTTTTACTGTAAAGAACTCTCTCCCCTACTTCATTCTGTTAGGGTTTGTTTGGGTTTGTTGGTTTTTGTTTTTTTTTTAATTCGCTTTTCTCCAAGCATGGTTTTGTATCTGTTTCTAAATCAGTCTTCATTGTTAACACCATTTCTTTTTCACTCTTCCACTCACTCTTTTGGAATGAGGACAGAAATTTAGGTCTTGTTCATCTTTGCTCTCCAAATGTATGTATGTATTTGAGTGATTCTGCACAAAAATTTTTGCATAGTTTTGGGGAAGGAGGGACGGAGGGGAGATAGGGACTTGAAAGCATTAGTCAAGGCTCAGGCAGGGATTGTTGTGACTTTTGTACTGTAATTATTTCTGAACTTTCTGAACTGCTTCAAAACATAATCGCATTACTGTGTGCGTCATTGTGAGAGACAGAGAAATTTGTTTTTTCTAAATTCTTACATCTCCTTAGAAAAATGCTTTGGTGTTACATAATTGCCATTGTTCTTTTGCATGTTTTTCATAGCATCCTCCTGGGCAGTTGAGAAGGAAATACAGTTCCTGCTCCACTATTTTCCTGGATGACAGCACAGTCAGTCAACCAAACCTCAAGTATACCATCAAATGGTGGGTTTTTTGTTTTTGTTTTGGTTTTGGGTTTTTTTGTTTTGTTTTCTAGAACCTACATTATATATATGTATTTATGTAGACATATTTCTGAACCATTACCAAGCAAGCTTCAAAGGTTTTAGTTTTTGAAGTAGTAAATTTATTTAATTCAATCATGCTCCAGAGGCAGTGAATAGGATGAGCAAAGGGTATTACTCTTATTTTAGGTCCATGCAGAATCAAACTCCCAATACTGCATATTTCAACAGAAAGCAGCAATTAAGGATCTCAAATTCCAGCAGCTGAAATCCTTGTGCTTCAACATTCAATTAGGTACTTGCTTTGTATGAGTCCTCAAAACTTACTTGGGTACTTGTTTATTCAGAATTTTGGAATTATCTGAAATTGAAGAGCTCTTTTCTGTTCATGAGAAAATGCTCATTTGCTAAGCTTTCTTTCCAGTTTTCTGTTTGAAATAGAAATTAATTGCCTCCAGATTCATTTCCTTATTGAGTACAAGGGCACTGGCAGTTTATTACACAGCAGTGGGGAGCTTTGTATGTGGTGTGCACATGGGCTTACCCTTGGGTGACGTCTCATATGATCATTTCAGGTTTCACTGGTACCTTTTTACATTTGGAGAGAAACAAAATTGGTATTTATAGAGTACTGTTCTTTACATTTTGTACAGTAAGGGGAAAAAATGAGAGAACAAATGCTCAGGCATTTTATGCTGTTTGTTTATTATGATTGCTGATACACTCTCTTGAATTGTTTGTAGGATGGTTACCTTGGTGTACTCAAATGCAAAGATTTATCAAGACAAAACCTGTGCTACAGAGATACTTAGATGAGAGACAGACATATTCAGACTAACAGGTCCAAAGGAATTTGTAATGTTGGTGGTCACTAAAACATGTTCTTAATTTTTCTGTTAAAGGAAAAAAGAGGGGAGTGGAAGAGGGATTTGCAGTCAGACACCTAATTCCTCATCAGCTATTTCTGCCTGAATTATAGTCCTGTTTTTCCTCAAGTTTCTTTAATTAGTAACTTAAAAATAATTCAGATGAACGCTGGAAAAAGATTTTTTGGTTTTTTTTTCCTCCTGGAATCTCATACTCTTCTGCTCTAAAATCCTTTGCATGCAGGTTTTTGTAAGTGCAGCTTTTTGGGTGGGTTTCGGGTCGCTTCTTGCATCAGAACTGAGCCTGGTCACGGAAAGGAGAAACGGGTTCAGTTGGCCACAGCAGCCGAGAAGCATTTTCAGTGGGCCACGATGGCTAGAAGCAGCCTTGTGAAAGAGGAGACAGAAAGACAAGTTGGGAGGGGAGCAAGGTGGTGATGTCTGGGAGACTTGGGGTGCGTGGTGGGGGGCAGAGCTATAGGGAGGAGAGGGCGCACGTCAGGCTGGAAGAGCTGGCGCTGGGTCCAGGGAGGAGGAGTTGTGCGGGACTGGGGCCAGGCTGCCGGCGTGGGAAGGGTTGGAAGCTGCAAGGGGTCAGAGGGTTTGAGAAGGGGTTATGTGGGGTCAGAAACTGGACTTTGGCACATGAGGCCTCTGGGTGAGGAGTCTTTTCCTCCTCTTCTCTATCTGGCTGCACATTTAACAGATTTAAGGGTGTGGGGATTGCAGGATTATTGTTTTTGTAGTACAACTTCATTTCTTGCTCCCATCCTGGCAGTCTCTGCAGATAAATGACTATTGCGCTTAGGTAAATCTATGAGGGATGTATTTTGGCCATCTCATGTATTTCTTCTGGGTCATGTTATGCACCGGTGTGTTTAAAATACCAGCGCATCTACTGGAGATCTGCAGCATCGGTGGGGTGGCCAGGGTAGAGTGATGGAAAGCTTCATAAGCTTCTTTCCTGCACACTGAGTGCTAGGAACGAGCATATGAAAAGCAGAATGAAGCTTGGATCTGAGTTAATCTATCACAGCTCTGAAAGACCTTCGGATTTTGATATAGATTTCTAAATAGTAAATATTTTCCTAAACTTAATTTGACATCTTCTTACAAAAGCAACCATATGGGCACCAAGCAGAGCTCTGCACATAGATTCTTGCATCAGCTTTCAGAAAGTAAATGGGAGCTGCAAGTGTGTTCCTAGGGGCATAATTTAAAATTAAATTTTAGGACTAATTCATTTTGTGAATAGCTTTCAGTCAAATGAAATTCATTCATAAATGTGTTTTTTGTGTTCAGTGAGGGCTGTGTCCTTTAAATGTTCAGGGTACACAGTATCTCTTTAATACCTTAAATATGTACCTGTAGAAAAAAATCAAATTTAAAAAGCATTTATGATCTAAAAGCTTCTAATGCAGCCAGGTAAAAGCTATAATGCTCATACAAAGTTAGCAAAATGTATTTACTTTCAACTAAGAAAAAATATTTTCCGCTACATGGTGGTTCAAAAAAAAAAAAAAAAAAAACAAACCAACAAAAACACCAAACCACAGCACCAGGTGAAATAATTTAAAATTCTACTAGTGGGGTAGCTCCAACATATTGTTTTCCTAACATGCAGTATGTCAGTTTTCATGTAAAAATTCTGAAATAAAATTACAGAGCAACCAATTCACTCTTTTAAAAGGCCTTTTATGGAAAAGAAAGAGGGGAATTTTGCATCAGTATAAGACATAAGCATCTTACAGTGAATCACTGACAAAACAAATTGTCAACAAATAGAATCGGTGAACTCCCTCCTCCTTCCCCTTTAGCTTTGACTGAGTTTTATGCTGCTGAAACAAGTAGGGAGCGTGCTGGTTCTGCTTTATCCTTCAGTAAAGCTCTATCATGTGTGAAGCATGTGTCCTTCAATAAAGCTGGAGTCGTGAGTTGGAAACAGGAGAATAACCATGAGAAGCCATGTCTTAATTTTCTTCAGTCTCAAATGTGAATGAGATCAGTTAGTTGTATACATAATTAAAATCTTAGCATTCTGTGAATATAAGGACGCATTTTGTCTTTGCGCAGAATATAAACAGACGTACTTGGGTGTGTGGTTGAGAACATGGGAAATGCATAATGCAGTAAGTTATTCAGGGAGTCGTCTTTCCAGAGTTAAAGTAACTTGAAGCCATAAAACTGTAGGAGCCTGGTATGCGAGTAACTACATAGAAAGAGCCAAAAGTTAATGGATTTAAATATAAAATCCTAAGCCAACGGTGATTAAAACATTTCATGTTAGCCTGGCAGCATTAGCAAACAATAAAAGAGAATGTCCAATGCCTGAGATGCCTTATTTTCAACCTTGGAAGTCAGTAGAGTTTTAGCATTGACTTTAGTAGGGTAGGGCATTAAATGGAAGGTAAGTGCAACTTGGTATGTGGAATATGAGTATTTTTGTAAGGTACTTCATTACTGGTGAAAAGGAGGCACTTGGAGTGTGCTGAAGAAATATTATAAAATTGTCGAACAGGTTAGACAAAACAGCAGTTTTCCAGGTATCTAACAATGGACAGAAGAAAATAGGCTGTTGAGCATACTTTTTGTCATGCATTGTGCTAAGTTTTAACTTTGCATGTTAATATGACAAATAATACGATTTGACAGTCCTGAGATATTAACTCTGTATTTTTCTTTACAGTGTAGCTCTTGCAATATATTACCACATCAAAAACAGGTATGTGAATAATGAAATCTTGTACTGAAGATATCTTTAATCAAAACAAATGAACTGCCCAAACCCTAAAAATCCATGCTCTATTTCTTTCAAAGGGGTTTTGGGTAGTAGTTTTCTTATTTCCCATGTTAGAAATGAGAAATGTATTCTTTTATTTCTTTATACATATATATAAAAATATTTCTGTATATATATAAAATATTGCTTAGAAAAATAAAAATTAGAGGATTATGTAGCATAAGAATCTGGAAGTACAGTTCAGCATTGAAAAACTTTGATTCAGTGCTTGGTTTTATGTGCACTGAGCACTTGTGCATTGTTACATATATTGCAATTACATATAGAGAAATCTGAATAGTGTCTTTCAGATTTATTTTTTTAGGCTACACCTTTATAAAGTTAACTGTGTATATCAATGATCAGTTAATGTTAATGCATTTTGAAATAAAAAACATTAATTATATAGTAAGAGAGACATTGTGAATAGATGAAATTCAAGATGCCTCAGAAACAGAGCAAGTCCTGGCTTATCTCTTTTGGTGTAGTATGTTTTAGATCTCTGCTCAGTCAAGTTGATTAAAATTGAGTAGAAAATAGGTTCTCTAAAAAGTAACTTGGTACATCAATTAGCTTTCTTCATGTTGAATTGCTCTTTTGTGCCTTAAATTCCATGTTCTCATGTCACAGTATCATAAAATAATATTTCCTGACATCTCTAAGAAGAGATTGTATAAATACTTTAAGTGACTTTTGTGTCCATGGTTTTTCAATGTGTCTTTTCAGAGAACTTGGCTTATATCTCGATCTAACAAGTCTTACACGTTCTTTCTTCTGGACTGTAAGAAGTCCGACTAGAACAAAAGGAATTACTCATAAGTTTAAAGTTAAGCTGGTACGTCATTCGGGACCATGTTTCAGGTCACTGGAACCCATCACGCTTCTTGAAACAAGGCTGACATCTAAAGAGAAACCTTTAGAAGTGCACAAGGGCAGAAAGGCTTAGAGCTTGATCCCTGCTGGAAGCACTTAGAAGATTTCCAAGACGTCAGTGGGACTGAAACATGGCAATATGTAAAGCAAAAGTTGGAGTGAAATCTTCTCGCAAACTTTTAATCTCATTTCCCAGGAAATGAGGCATTAGTGATCATGCTTGGATCACTTGTTTATCCCTCTGTGGTTCCCTTTTTCCCCTTTCCTCCATTGTCCCTGGGTTAGTTTGGCTAACTAGTGAATTTTTACTACACTTGACTAAATAATAGAGATTTCAGTGTGGTGGGTTGACCCTGGCTGGACACCAGGTGCCCACCAAAGCCGCTCTATCACTCCCCTCCTCAGCTGGACAGGGGAGAGAAAAATGTAATGGAAAGCATGTGGGTCGAGATAAGGACAGGGAGAGATCACTCACCAATTACCATCACAGGCAAAACAGACTCGACTTGGGGAAAAAATGAATTTAATTTATTACCAGTCAAATCGGAGTAGAATCATAGAATAGTTTGGGTTGGAAGGGACC